TGTGATTGTTAATAATTATGAGTTTGGTGTCATTTTACTATACATGTTTTTATTTTCTTTTTCTTAGATAAGTCCCTTTAAAATTTCATATAATATGGGCTTAGTGTTGATGAACTTTTTTAACTTGACCTTATCTGAGAATCACTTTATCTGCCCTTCCATTCTAAATGCAAGCTTTGCTGTATAGAGCAATCTTGGATGTAGGTCTTTGGATTTCAAGACTTGGAATACTTCTTTCCAGCCCCTTCTTGCCTGTAAGGTTTCTTTTGAGAAATCAGCTGATAGTCTGATGGGAACTACTTTGTAGGTTACTCTCTCCTTTTGTCTTGCTGCTTTTAAGATTCTCTCCTTATCCTTAATCTTAGGTAATGTAATTATGATGTACCTTGGTGTGTTCCTCCATGAGTCCAACTTCTTTGGGACTCTGAGCTTCCTGGATTTCCTGGAAGTCTATTGCCTTTGCCAGATTGGAGAAGTTCTCCTTTATTATTTGCTCAAATAAGTTTTCCACTTGTTGTTCTTCCTCTTCTTCTGGTATCCCTATAATTTAGATGTTAGAATGTTTAAAGATGTTCTGGAGGTTCCTAAGCCTCTCCTTGTTCTTTTGAATTTTTGTTTCTTCATTCTTTTTTCTTTGGTTGTTTCTTGCTTCCTTTTGTCCACTCCATTGATTTGAGTCCCGGTTGTCTTCCCATCACTATTTTTTCCCTGTACATTTTCCTTCATTTCACTTAGCGTAGCCTTCATTTCCTCATCTACTTTACAACCAAATTCAACCAAATCTGTGAGCATCCTGATCACCAGTGTTTTGAACTGTGCATCTGATAGGTTGGCTGTCTTTTCATCTCTTAGTTGTAGTTTTTCTGGAGCTTTGATCTGTTTTTTTTGTTTGGACCTTTTTTTTTTTTTTTGTCTTGTCTCACCTGTTAGATAGTGATAGGTAGAGCCTTAGGTGTTCACTAGCATGGGGTAACCCAATTGCTGGGTTGTGATGCTGTATGTGGGGCAGGGGTCTGAGGTCTGAGAGTGAACAGTGGTGCTTGCTACACTCTCTGACAGATTTCAGTCACTTCCTCTGCTTTCCACAAGCAAATTGGGTCCTTTTGGTGCTGATTCCCACGTGGGTGGGTTTATATATGTACTGGGACCCTGTGGGTCTCCCCAGCAAATTCTGCCGTGAGGCTGGGAGTCTCTCCTGGCACCTTAACCCTCACAGGTATTTAGGTGTTTTGAGGCTTTATTTCCCTTTGCTGGTACCCTGGATTGCACAGTCTGTCTTACTCCTCAGTTTGGCCTGGTTTATCTGCATGCAAATGTGGGACTGCCTCATCTCTCTGCCACCTTGTAAGCCTCGCCCCTCCACAATCTTCTACCTTGCTGAGTCCACCAGCCACCGTCTTTTGTGCCCAGGGTCCACCAGCTGCTGCTGAGCTGAGAGCCCTCTATCCCTGCTTACTAACTTCGTGCCCTGTCTACCAGTCTGGATGAATGTGTGTACTTTAACTCCTTGGTTGTTGGGCTTCCATACAGTTCAGTTTTCTGTCAGTACTGGTTGTTTTTTTTTTTTTAATTGTTGTCCTTATTTTGGTTGTGTGAGGAGGCACAGTGTGTTTACCTAGGCCTCCACCTTGGCCAGAAGTCTAGATCATCCTGTGTAATAGTAGGGAAAAGATTTAGGTACTGTTTGCTTTTTAAAGATTTTATTAACTTATTTTTAGACAGAGGGGAAGGGAAGGGGGGAAGAGAGGAAAAGAAACATAAATGTGTGGTTGCCTCTCTGTCACCCCATCCTGGTGACCTGTCGGCAACCCAGGCACGTGCCCTGACTGAGAATCCAAGTTCCAACTTTTAGGTTTAGAGGCGGGCACTCAATCCACTGAGCCATACCAGCAAGAGCTAAATAAATTTTTAACCAAAATAATTTTCCTATGTTCTCTGGGATATTTGGGCTTCAGTTAAAGGATACCCAGATACTTAATTATAAACATGGATATGTTTTTAGAATTTGCATTCAAACTTACAGTCTTTAATTTTTTAGCCATCCTTTCATTTGATTATTTGATCTCTGGCTGAAACTAGAATTAATTCAACAAAATTAAAAGAGAAAACTTTTTAAAAAGATTTTATTTATTTATCTTTAGAGGGGAAGGGAAGGAGAGCGGGAGAGAAAATCAGTGTATGGGCCTGCAACCCAAGCATGAGCCCTGACTGGGATTGAACCAGTGATCCTGTGGTTCACAGGCTGTTGCTGAATCCACTAGCTACACCAAGCAGGGCAGGAAGAGATAACTTTTAACAGGCATGTAATGTAGCGTACTGATGGGTGGGAAACAGTTTTTTTACAATGACCATTTTTTAAAATTTGCTTTAGATTTTGCCTTAAGAGTATTTTCATGTGGTGTTTTGGTTTTTATATTTTGGAAAAATATTCATAACAAAATGTATCACTTTAGTCATTTTTAAATGTACATTTTCCTGGCATTAGTGCATTCCCATCGTTGTGCGACCATCACCACTTTCTTTTGAAGTTTTTCATCATCCCAAAGTAAAACTCTATGCGTTAAACAGTAACTCCTCGTTAGTCTCTCCCCTAGGTTTTTGGCAACTTCCATTGCACTTTCTTTCTCAATGAATTTGGTGTCTTACGTAACTCGAATTATACAAATTTGTCCTTTTGTATCCGGCTTATTTTACTTAGAATAGTATTTTCTTATTATAGAATATTTTCAAGGTTCATGTATGTTAGCATATATGTGAGACCTTCATTTCTTGCTAATGCTGAATTTCATTGTGTATGTATGTATGTATATGTACATGTATGCATATGAGGTCTGTCCAGAAAGTATACAGCCATGCAATATGAAAAATAGAGGCATATATTGAAGAAGATACAAGAAACACTGTGTATAGGACAGTGATGGCTCAGTACCCTTCAAAGTAGGCACCTTGAGACCTCACACAGTTTTCTGAATCAATCAGTTGCACCTTCATATTTTTCTGAATCTCATCGAAGGTCTGAAATTTATTCCTTTCAAAGGTGATTTTAGTTCTGGGAAAACCCAGAAATCGCTGCATTGTAGCGGAGCTGAGTCACATGGGTGATTTGGTGATTTGATGTTTGGCCAAAAAACTCTGCCTGAGACATGAGGCATGAGTGGGCTCACTGTCATGATGAGGCTGCCCATCACCTGTTGCCCATAGCTGTGGCCCTCTGAATCATCTGCATAGTTTTTGAGGCAGAATGTTCCAGGTTGATGCAAAATTTGATGCGGGTTCATTGCTCTACTTGCTCAGTCATCTTGATCAGCATGGGACTTGAAACTTTTGCTCCATTTCCTACCTGAGCCAGTTCACCCCTCCTTAGGCAACCTGGTGGCTCCTGCCCCCGGGAGGTCACCATATTGAGTGTGAACTTAGTGAGGACACTTGTTCAGCATAGCACACTAGAGCCTAGAACTCCTGTGCTCAAGTGGTCCTCCTGCCTCAGCCTCCCACGTGGCGGGGACTACAGGCATGCGCCACCGTGCCCTGCTTGCTCAGTCATTTTGAATGCTATGGCCACCCAGTACGTATGGCTCACTCAGTGGCATCTACTGCCCCGATTGACTAGTAGAGTGAAGTCGTCATTGTTCACACATGTGTATTCCAGTCCACTCTCCTTGGCTGCCAGTTCACATGGATGTTGCACAAAGTGTTCTCATTATATTAGCAGTGGCTGGATGTTTTCCAGACAAACCGCAAACATCACATTTTGTCTACCCATTTATATGACAGTGGACTTTTGAGTTGTTCCCATCTTTTGGCTGTTGTGAATAATTCTGTGAACATGGGTGCACAAATATTGTTTGAATCCTTTTCTTTCTTTTGGGTATGCGCCCAGAAGTGGGATTTCTGCATCATGGTAATTCTGTTTAATTTTTTTTTAGAAACTGCTAAATGGTTTTCTCCAGTGGATGCATCATTTTACATTCCTAACAGCAATGTACAGGGTTCAAATTTTTTCCACATTGTTGCCAACACTTGCTATTAAAAGTGTATATGTTGTATTTTTGTAATGCGAGGCTTTTTGCTGATATCAAAGTATCAGAAAATCTTTTTTTAAAGAGAGTAATATGCTGTATTACTAAGAAATCTTAGATGACATTTGTCCTGCAACCCACTTCCTTTATTTTTTACAAAATATTTTATTTTTAGGGAGGGGGAGGGCTGGAGAAAGAGAGGGACAGAAACATTAATGGGTTCTCTCTTGAATGTGCTCATGCAGGGGACCAAACCTGCAACCCATTCATGTGCCTAGACTTCAATTGAACTGGCAAGCTTTTGGTTTGCAGGAGAGTGCCCAAACAACTGAACCACACACTTTTAGGCACTGTTTCTGTTTGGGTAAGAAAGAAGAAATTATCTTCATGCAGCCACAGTTTACTTTGCCTCCTGTTTTCTATAATCAGTGTGTTTGTGGGAGAAAAGGAATTGTGCATCTGTTTCCTATGCTGATTTTTTGTTAAACTATTGCTAGGTTGTGAAGTGTATCACTTCTTCCTTCTACTTGGGTAGAATTTTAACTTGTTCTGGAATTTATTTTGGGGGATGATGCTATCCTAATTTTATGGAAAAAAAACCCTAAATGGATCCCTGGCTCCAGTGGATTGAGCGTGGACCTGCCAAATGGTTACTGATTTGGTTCACAGTCAATGTACACACCTGGGTTGAGGGCCAGGTCCCCAGTGGGGGGGGTGTGAGAGGCAACCACACACTGATGTTTCTCTTCCTCCTTGCCTTCTCCTCTATCTGGAAATAAAGAAATAGAATCTTTTAAAAAACGTAAATGGAAAGTTATAAGATAGATGCTCTAATTAATAGGTTAGGAGTTTGTGGCAAATAATACTTGGGTTTTGAGCCTTATTTTTCTTTCAATGCAGTGTAAATTAAAGCAGTCTGTGGAGGACCTCATACCTATAACGTTATGTTTAGCAGGACACTGAGGATTTCTAACCGCTCACTTTCTTCTTTCTTCTCTCACACAGGGAGCATGGCCCAAGTAGCAATGTCTGGCCTGCCAGTTGAGGATGAGGAGTCTTCAGAGAGCAGGATGGTGGTGACATTTCTCATGTCAGCTCTTGAGTCCATGGTGAGACGGCTTTACAGTTCTATCAAACATTCCATATTCGGATGGATATGGGCTTGTGGATGAGATTGGTTTGTTCTTGTAAAACATACGGTTTTCAGTTTACTAATAAGAATACATTTTACTTGAGTAATAGTTATGGATTTAAGCCTTTCAAATCAAATTTTATTACCAGTTTCAGAATATTCTTAACTTTTCTAAATGTTTAATATTTTACATTTAATTTCAGTTTTTCTTTTTCTTTTTTTTTTTTTTTTAAATATTTATTTGTCTTTAGAGGGGAAGGAGAGAGGGAGAGAAACATCAATGTATGGTTGCCTCTAGTGCTTCCCCTGCTGGGAAATAGCCTGCAGGGAACTGGCCTGCAACCCAGGCATGTGCCCAGACTGGGAATCGAACTGCTATCCTCTGGTTCGCAGGCCCATGCTCAATACACTGACCTACACCAGCCAGGGCTTTATTTTCAAAAGGCCTATATTAAACATAATTACAGCAAAACATTAGTGTTACAATTTGCTTATCATGTTTTTTAAATAGGTAGCTGGAAATCTTGTGTTTGATCTCATAGATTTTTTTTTTAAAAGCATCAGACTTAATATCTTTTTATCTTTTAATCTTCACCTGAGGATATATATTTATTAATTTTTAGAGAGCAAGGAAGGTGAGGGTAGAGAAATAAACATTGAATTGGAAGGGAAACATTGATCATTTGTGTCTTGACCAGGGATTGATGCAACCTAGGTGTGTGCCCTAACCGGGGATTGAACCTGCAACCCTTAGGTGTACGGGGATAACGCTCCAACCATCTGAGCCACCTGGCCAGGGCTAGGTATTTTTGACACATTGAAATGAAATAATGTAAGTTGGAGGAAGCTGTGTATTTTCTGTGTTAAGTGTTGACTAATATTAGGTTGTGTTTAACCCCATAAATCACAGTATGACATAGTTTGTAGATTCCTTTTTCTTTTCCCATTAGGGAAAATCTTTTTCTGTCTAATAATCTAAAATATCCTTAAAGAAAGAGAAATTTTAGAATGGTTAGTGGCTATTTACCTTTATTTTCTAAAAATCATTCCTTCCTAGTAATCATAAAATCTGCCAAAATTTGGGCTGTAATGTTAACTATTAATTTAGAGATTAAATGTACTCTGTTGGTATGAAAATATTTTCTGGTGATCTGTGCATAGAATGAACATAGGGTGGATCACATAGGATCTGTTTTATTCCTTAGAATATCTTTAGAATTTTCTCATCTTTGTTGTTCACTTTAGTATTCTCAGCTTTTAAAAAAAATTTTTTTTCTTTATATTTTTAGAGAGAGGGGCAGGGAAGGAGAAAAAGAGGGAGAGAAACGTCAGTGTGTGGTTGCCTCTCAAATGGCCCCTACTGGGGATCTCACCTGCAACACAGGCATATGCCTTGACTGGGAATCAAACCATGACCCTTTGGGTCACAGCCCGCACTCAATCCACTGAGATACACTAGCCAGGGCTGTTCTCAGCTTTTATTTCCTCCTCACCAGCAGGAGTAAGAGATCTCTCCTCATGTTCCTAGGTGTATGTTATGAAGTATAATTATAGGCGTATAGGCATGTTTTGTCCTTCCCTTGGCCTATAGGTTTCTTTGATCTGATCCTTGGATAGTGGGTGAACCTTGCTTTGCTGTGTCGTAAATACTGCCTTTGGTGACGGGGCTGTCCAGCTAAGAGGGTGGATAGTGGGACAAGAACGCACTGCTATTACAGGTGAGCAGCCAAAGTGCTTCTCATACAAATGCAGTGTAACAGAGTTTGGGTATAGCATGATTCTTCCTGCTGGGAACGACTTTTGGCTCACCTCTTGGTCTGATGTTCTCTACTACGGCTTTATTATAGTTCAAAAGATTTCTGCATTGCAGCAGGTATAACATTATTTATTCTAGATGACATTTTAAAGTAATACATGGAAGCACTTTCCATTTAAGAAATTAGAGGGTTGTTATTGTACAAATCAAGGAGAAATGGAGGAAAGATGTGGTTTTCAACAAATGAGAACAGGCTGTTTGGCAAAAAAAATTTAGTGTTTATCATGTGTCAGGTTAAAATCTAGATGAGGAAAAATAAAAATAGTTATATTAAGAAAAATTATGTAATTGTGTATTCTGTGAGCAGCTTTCTATGCCTGACATTGAGGATTTTTTCAAAAGATTTTATTTATTTATTTTTAGAGTGGAAGGGAAGGAGAGAGGGAGAGAAATATCAATGTGTGGTTGCATCTTGTGCGCCCCCTGCTGGGAACTGGCCTGCAACCCAGGCATGTGCCCTGACTGGGAATCGAACCATGATCCTTTGATTCACAAGCCCACGCTCAATCCACTGAGCTACACCAGCCAGGGCACATTGAGGATTTTAATGCATCAGTGGGGAAACACTACTAACATAATAGTAAAATTAGCAAAAGATATGTTAATTGACAGAAAAGTACCTGAAGTACAAAACTCTTTCACTTTAATACCAATCAGTGGCTTATTGACTATACTAACCACCCTTTTAAATATTTCTGGGAAATTTTTGCACAATAATGTTTGCCTGGTAGGGAATGGTTAGCTCTTTTAGAAGTATAAGTGGGAGTATAAACTGAAAGAGCCTTGCTTTCCCCTTTTCATAGGTTTTGAGAACCTTAAAAGTATTTATTTTCAGCCCTGGCTGGTGACTCAGTTGATCTGTTGTCCTGTGCATGAAAGATTGTGAGTTTGATCCCCGGTCAGGGCACATGCAGGAGGCAACTGATCAATATTTCACTCACATTGATGTGTGTGTGTGTGTGTGTGTGTGTGTGTGTGTGTGTCTCCCCCTTCCCCATCCACCTTCCTTCTATTTCCCCCTCCTTCCCATCCCCTATCTCTTTATAAAATCTATAAAGATCCTCAGCTGAGGATAAAAAAAATATTTCCTTCCTTCTTTCCTTCTTCCTTCCTTCCTTTTCTTTCCCTCCCCTTCTGCCTTCCTGCCTGTCTTCCCTCTCTCTCTTTCTCTCCCTCCTTCCTTCCTTCCTTTCATTTATTTATTTTTTGAGAGAGGGGAAGGGAGGGAGAAAGAGACAGAGAAACATCAATGAGAGATTGCCTCTCATGTACCCTGTACTGGGGGCCTGTTCTGCAACCCAGGCATGTGCCCTGACTGGGAGTCAACCAGCGACCTTTTGGTCCTCAAGCCGGCACTCAGTCCACTGAGCCACCCCAGGCAGTGGAGAAAGTATATTTACTTTCATAGTCAAAGCTTTCCATGTCTCAGTCTCTTCTGAGAAGGTCGTTCAAGATACATGTGAATGTTTTGTTCCCAGATTATTATGTCAGTGTTGATTTTAGGAGTGGTAATTAGGATCGCCAACATTTTCAATAAGGTTAGCATGAAATGAATTATTGTATAGCCATAAAATGGAATGTTATACTGTATACTCTTACTAAGATTTTCTAGAATATTTAATCTCATGGGAATATACTTAGTAAAAACCATTCTTAGTAAAAGTATACACACCTAAATGTTTCCACTTGTGTGTAGCTGCGGAGATACTTCTGGAGGTGGGATTATGTAATGCAGGGGTGTCCAACCTTTCTGCATCTCTAGGCCACACTGGAAGAAGAGTTGTGTTGGGCCACACATTAAATACACAGACAATAATGAAAACTGATGAAGGAAAAAAGGGCTTTAAGTAAATGTACAGTTTTTGTGTTGGGCCTCATTCATAGCCATCCTGGGCCCTCTGCAGCTCACAGGCCTCGGATAATGGATGTTGTGCTGTGACTTCCAGACCTCTCTTTAGGACTGATGGCACTTATCACCCCAGCTCCTGTGTGTGGTAGAGGATCCCTTGCCCAAGATGTCTCTGCTTCTTTGGGAAGGGCCATTTCAGTTCCAGAGCTCTCCTGATGCAGGTGTGTTCGCTTTCAGCTCTCTGGCTCCTGCGCCCTTTATACTGCACAGGTGTTGTTACCGAGAGTACTCTCCAGTAAGCATGTATGTGTACCTGAGTCGGTTTCTTATGAATTTGACCTTTAACAGATCAAATGGCATGTGTTTGCAGGGATCACTGCCTTTTTTCTTATAAATTCTGTAGTTTCTTCTGTTTAAAATCAGCAGTAAAAACTATAGGAAAATAGCCCTGGTTGGTGTGGCTTAGTGGATTGAATGCTTCCTGTGAACCAAAGAGTTGCCAGTTGGATTCCCAGTTAGGGCACATGCCTGACTTGTGGGCCAGGTCCCTGGTTGGGGTGGGTATATTAGAGGTAATGACACACTGATGTTTCTCTCTTTCTCCCTCCCTTCCCCTCTCTAAAAATAAATAATAAAATCTTTTAAAAAAACTATTCAAAAAGAAAACCCCCTTGAAAAAATGGGGACTCTTTGTTTTTGTATGTAACTTAAGGCCAAAAAGTAGAAACTTTGTTTCCAGGTTATGTATTAAGACAGTTTAAGGGATAAGGCTTTTTTCTTCATCCATCAGAAATAATACTATTAAATTATATCGTATGTATCACTTAATTTTTTCTATTTCAGTGTAAAGAACTGGCCAAGTCCAAGGCAGAAGTGGCCTGCATCGCAGTGTATGAAACAGACGTGTTTGTCGTTGGAACTGAGAGAGGACGTGCTTTTGTCAACACCAGAAAAGATTTTCAGAAAGATTTTGTGAAATACTGTAAGTATTGTATTTTTAGCTTTCGTATTTCATAGATATTAAAGCTGAATATTTGTGCATTAACACATCATATTATATTCTAAAGGAGAATGACATTTATAGTAAAAAAGTACTTTCTGAAATGTCCGTGGAGACATTGCAAAATGTTCAAAATGAGCCCTGGCCAGCGTTGCGCAGTGGATTGAGTGCCGGACTGTGAACCGAAATGGCGCTGATTCCATTCTCGGTCAGGGTACATGCCTGCTTGCGGGCCTGGTGCCCTGTTGGGGGCTTGAGAAAGTCTAGAGAGAGGCCTAGAGAAAGTCACTGTTGGGTATTAACACCTATTCCCTTGCACAGTATGACAATTTTGTATCTGTGTTTAACCTAACATTGTTCATAGCTTTTATTGGGTTTTAATTTTTTTGAAGATTTATTTATTTTTAGAGAGAGGGGAAGGGAAGGAGAAAGAGAGGAAGAGAAATATCAATGTGTGGTTACCTCTCGCACGCCCCCTAACTGGGGACCTGGCCTGCAACCCAGGCATGTGTCCTGACTGGAAATCGAACTGGTAACCCTTTGGTTTACAGGCCTGTGCTCAATCCACTGAGTCACACGAGCCAGGGCCATAACTTTTATATTAAGTGTGATACAGAATTTTTTAAAATACAGAAAGAGAACAATAAAGATGAGTATGTTTATAGGCATATTATATACGTCATTAAGATCCAAATTTAAATTTCCATTATCAAGTTAGAGCCAATATATGATAAATCAAGCAGATTATGGGTAAGTAAAAGTAGGTGTTTAATTTTAAAAATATTTTTTATTAATTATGTCATTACAGTTGTCCCATTTACCTCCCTCCATTTTCCTCCACCCTGGGTACCCCTCCCCCCACATGGTCCCCCTTTAGTTCATGTCCATGTGTCATACATGTAAGTTTTCTGTTTCTACATTTTCCACACTACTCTTACCCTCCCCCTGTGTGTTTTCCTCCCACTGTCTGTGCTACTTATTCTCTGTACCTTCTCCCCCCTTCTCCTCCCACTCCTCTCTTGGTAACCCTCTATGTCATCTCTATTTCTGTGGCTCTGCTCCTGATCTAATTGTCCACTTAGTTTGCTTTTGTTTTAGGTGTGGTTCTTAGTAACTGTGAGTTTGCTGTCTTTCCATTGTTCATATTTTTTAACTCCTTTTTCTTAGATAAGTTCCTTTAACATTTCTTGTAATAAGGGTCTGGTGATGATGAACTCCTTGAACTTGAGCATATCTGAGAAGCACTTTATGTGCCCTTCCATTCTAAATGCAAGCTTTGCTGGATAGAGCAATCTTGGATGTAGGTCCTTGTCAATCATGACTTGGAATACTTGTTTCCAGCCCCTTCTTGCCTGTAAGGTCTCTTTTGAGAAATCAGCTGACAGTCTGGTGGGAATTCCTTTGTAGGTGACTATCCTCTTATCTCTTGCTGCTTCTTGGATTCTCTCCTTCATTTTAATCTCGGCTAATATAATTATGATGTGCCTTGGTGTGTTCCTCCTTGGGTCCAACTTCTTTGGGACTCCGAGCTTCCTGGATTTTCTGGAATTCTATTGACTTTGCTAGATTGGGGAAGTTCTCATTTATTATTTGTTTAAATAAGCTTTGCACTTGTTGCTCTTCCTCTTCTTCTGGTACCCCTATAATTCGGATGTTGGAATGTTTAAAAATGTCCTGGAGGTTCCTAAGCATATCCTCATTTTTTTTTTTTTTTGAAGTCTTGTTTCTTCATTGTTTTCTGTTTGGTCATTTTTTTTCTTCCTTCTGGTCCACTCCCTTGATTTGAGTCCCAGTTTCCTTTCCATCACTATTGATTTCCTGTGCATTGCTCTTCATTTCAATTCGTTTATCCTTCATTTTTTCGTCTAATTTGTAACTAAAATCAACCAGTTCTGTGAGCATCCTGATCACCAGTGTTTTGAAGTGTGCATCTGATAGGTTGGCTGTCTCTTGGTTGCTTGGAAGTATTGGCTGTGGGGCTTAGATCTGTTCTATTTGAGCCATATTGTTTTGGTTTGTTCATGCCTATAATGTATGAGGGGCGGAGTGTCAGGTGTTCACCAGGTTGGGGCAACCCAGTTGCTAGGTTGTGATGCTATTTGTGCGGGTGGGGTTAGAGAGGGAATAATGGCGCTTGTTCTGCTCTCTCTCAAATTTCAGTCCCCTCTCCCGCTTCCCAGAAGCAAATTGGGCCCTTCTGGTGCAGGCTCTCGGGTGGGTGGGCTTGTGTACTTTCTAGGACCCTGTGGAGCTGTATAAGGAACTCGCCTGTGAGGTTGGGAGCCTCTTCCTGTACCTCAAGCCCTGAAAGTTTTTCCAGTTGGTCCTTTTAGGTTTTATTTCTTGTTCTCTGGGGCCCTGGGTTGGGCAGTCTGTCTGCCCTTTTTTTTTGGCCTGGTTTGTCTGTATGCAAATGTGTGTCCTGTCAGCCAACAGCCCCGCACAACTCACTCGGTTTGCTGGTTTCCTCTCTGTACTCGGTTCTGTTAACCACCGCCTCTTCCTGCCAGTATCCCTCTCTGCTGCCCGCTGACTCTTACCTTCTTACCGGTCTAGATGAATGGTTCTTTCTTGTCCAACTTCGACACAGTTCAAATTTCAGTCTGTTCTAGTTGTATTGTTTTGTCTCCCTCTTTGTTGTCCTTAAATTTTGTTGTGGGAGGATGTAGAATATGTCCACCTACGCCTCTATCTTGGTCAGAAGTCTGAAAATAGGTTTGTTAATTCGTGAATTCCAATTCACCATTATATTCTTATTCCTTTTTAAAAAACATCTTCTCTCCTTCACTATATTCCTTCCTCCCCACCTAGCTGTGAGCTGTTAAATGTTATGGTAGTAATCTGTTTAATTTTTTTTCATTTCTTATCACTTTATGAATTCTGAAGAATTCAATTTGTGTATTTGTTTATACTAATGTTGCTTCAGTGACATCTTGTGTGATGTGTCCCATGAACACTGTCATCCCTCTGGCAGCCGTATTTGTGTTCCTGTTCCAGGTACTGTCTTGCTTGTGTGTTTCTCCAGTGGTTGGAACTAAGCTTTACTGAAATTGTCCTCCATTGCAAATTGTAATCCTTGCCTATCAGTATTCACACTGTTTTTCCTAAAATTTTTTAAAAAGATTTTATTCATTTATCTTTAGAGGGGAAGGGAAGGAGAGAGGGAGAGAAATATCAATGTGTGGTTGCCTCTTGTGTGTCCCCCACTGGAAACTGGCCTGCAACCCAGGCACCTGCCCTGACTAGGAATTGAACTGAGATCCCTTAGTTCGCAGGGCCGTGCTCAATCGAGCTACACCAGCCAGGGCCATACTTTCTTTTTGTTAACACTAATTTGATTACATGGTGAATAATTTTTGGAGAGAATTTTTGGGTCCCTAATAATTTTGTAAATACGTAATAATAGAGGTCTTCTGAAGCCTAATCAATAGGTTTGTGGTCTGTTTTAGAAAATATGGGGGAGCCCTGGCTGCTATTGCTTAGTAGATTGAGCAAAGCCCTGTGAAGCAAAGGGTTGCTGGTTCAATTCCCAGTCAGGGCACATGCCTGGGTTCCAGGCCAGGTCCCCAGTAGGGGACACATGAGAGGCAGCCATACTTTCTCTCATATTTCTCCCTCTCTCCTTCCCTTCCCCTCTCTCTAAAAATAAATAAATGAAAATATTTAAAAGAAAATATGGGGGAGAAATCAAAGCTCTTTTCTGTGCTTTAGAAAAGCACTAGAAATAATATAATGTGAATTACTCATGAAATTTAGAATTTTCTGGTTATGATATTGGTAAAAAAAGAAGATAGATGTGAAATTCATTTTAGTGGTTATATTCAAACCCACTACATCTAGAATAATATCATTCAACATGTAATCAATATAAAATTATTAATGGAATATTTTGCATATTAGTTTTTATAGTAAGTCTGAAAAATCCAACCTGGTAAACGTAAAACACATCTTAATCTGGACTATCAACGTTTCAAGTGCTCAGTAGCCATAGTTGTCTAGTGGCTGTTGTGTCTGAACTCTGCAAGGGTAGAATATGTTTTGTGTTGATAATCTTCCCTTATTTAAGTTAGTAGCTGATAAATTACTCTTAAGGCAAAATTAGTAGCTTCCCTAGCCAGGTAGTCCAGTTGGTTAAAACATCAGTCCCATGCACCAAGGTTGTGGATTTGATCTACTGTCAGGGTACGTATAAGAAACAACCAATAGATGCATGAATAAGTGGAACAGCTCATTGATGTCTCTCTCTCTCTCTCTCTCTCTTTCTCATAAATTAAAAAAAACATTTTGCCCTGGCTGGTGTGGCTCAATGGCTTGAGCTCGGGCCTGTAAACCAGACAGTTGAGCTTCAAGTCCCAGTCAGGGCACATGCCTGGGGTACCGGCCGGTTCCCTGCAGGTCAGTTCCCAGCAGGGGATGCACGAAAGGCAACCATACATTGATGTTCTCTCCCTCTCTCCTTCCCTTCCCCTCTGAAGATAAAGAAATAAAATCTTTAAAAAAATTTTTTATAGGTTTAATAGGATTTTTAGGATTTATAGGATTTGTAACTGACTTGTAGGATTTTTAGTTATAGCTACACTTATGTCAGAGATGATCATTTCTTATTTTCATTTAAGTAGCATGTCTTTTAGCTTTTATTTTTTAAAAATGTTTACAAGATTTTATTTATTTACTTTTAGAGAGGAAGGGAGGGAGGAATAGAGGGAGAGAAACATCAGTGTGTGGGAGATACATTGATTGGTTGCTTCTCCCACGCCTCCAACTGGGGACCTGGCCCACACCCCAGGCATGTGCCCTGACAGGGAATTGAACCAGGGACCCTTTGGTTCGCAGCCCATGCTCAATCCACTGAGCTACGCCAGCTCTGCTGCTTTATTTTTAAAGTTTCTCCTCTTCCCTTTCCTTTCTGTGTTTATATAATACACCATAAATTTTAGAATATTGGAAAAAATAATCATGCTGAAAGCCAGATAATAAGAAATGGATACAAGCCTTTGTATATCATTAATTATTTTACAGGTGTTGAAGAAGAGGAAAAGGCTGCAGAGATGCATAAAATGAAATCTACAACCCAGGGAAATCGGATGAGTGTAGATGCTGTAGAGATTGAAACACTCAGAAAAACCGTTGAGGACTATTTCTGCTTTTGCTATGGTAAGATTATATACTTGAATTTCTTAAAAGATAGATTACGTGACTGAGTTTTCTAAAAGGTAGGTTTAACATCATACAACACACTCTCACAAATTGAATGAATCTATCTGTCATTGTTGGGTGTTAACATTAGGAACAGCCTTATTTTCTGTTTGCAGTTTGAAGGAACCCAGAAACAAATACAGTATTAGAATTTTTTTTTTTTTTTTTTTTTTCATTTAGAGCAGGTTTAGAGTCACAGCAAAATCAAGGGCGGGTGTATAGATCTCCCGTATACCAGTGTCTCTCACACATGCGTAGCCTTTTGCCATCAGGATCCTGCACCAGAGAAGCTGTACCGTCACATGGTAATCATCCAGAAGGAATTGTTTATTTTGTATATGTATGCCAGTGTCCCAGGAAAAAAACCACCTTTTGTTAATCCAATTACGTGGTAAACAAAGCTCTTTTAAGGAAAAAAAGTGGTCAGAGGGGGGCGATACAGGTTATGGTGTCAGGTTGTACGTACTCTGACATTGAGTACATACGCTGTGTTGAACTCTGGGGGATGGAGTTCCAGCATCCATGAGCTCAATGCGTCATACATACTGACAGCCTGACAGAATCCAGTCATTTGTAAAGGTAGGTTTTGTTCATCTAGTAAGTTTTCAGTGAAAATACTAATCAAAAATTGCCTCTTGTGGTAGCATTTGGATTTGTCAGGTTCCCGTGTTCTGAGGCTGAGTTGTAAATGGACAGATTGTGTTGTACCAGAGTGGGACCATGGCAAAGAAAGAGAGTAATGCAGGCAATTGACCATTGTTCCTGTCAGTGTAGGTTTATATAAGTGTCTTATGTACTTGCTTTCTTACCCTTTGGATTTGTTTGTGGTTTAGAACTTTTGCTAACATGGGACTAGGGCCCTATGATATTTCAAAGTAGTTTTGCAATTAGATGCCACAAGATAGCATGAATACCATTTATTGACCCATGATAAACTGATGGTTTAGTTTTCAACCTTAACATTTAATGATGTTTATCTTCTTTCCACGTCACCTCTTCTTTCCACTGTCTCCTACCCCAGGGAAAGCGTTAGGAAAATCAACAGTGGTGCCTGTTCCCTATGAGAAGATGCTGCGAGACCAGTCGGCGGTGGTGGTGCAGGGGCTTCCAGAGGGCGTTGCCTTTAAACACCCTGAGAACTATGATCTTGCAACTCTGAAATGGATTTTGGAGAACAAAGCGGGGATTTCATTTATCATTAAGAGGTAAAGTATTTGTGTCCCTTGCCCACCAATATGTACTTATATAAAATGGAATAATTCAGCGTCTTTTATTATATTAAGAAAATTAATGCTTACTGTAGAAGTCATTTAAATTTATGCTCTATAGTAATTTGGGTTTATGTATTCTTAGAATATTTTTGTTTTCTTTTAATGCAGACCTTTCCTGGAGCCAAAGAAGCACTTAGGTAAGTGATTGCTTTGCCTGCGTTGATAGCTGGTTGGGTTCCTAAATCTGTTGGGCCGAGTGTAATATATTGTAATGATTTCTCTTACTTCCTTTGAGAATATGATGGGAGATATTTTGGAGTGGGGCATTATGATATTTATATAAACCAATGAAAAGTCTTTGAGCTGAAAAAGTAGACTTGTTCTTAGCTCTGCTACTTTGTTTATGATGTGTATTCAAAGTTTTATGGTTGCAAGATGAATACGATTTAATTTATTTAATATTTATTGAATAGGTATGGAATTATTAAGCACAAGATCATGTGGGGAGGGGATACACGACTATGTGTAAGCATTAAAGCTTTTGAGTGCTGGCAGTCTTACGGAAAAGATGAAAAAATCCATAAAGTCACCCGAGCAAGAATATGCCGCAGGAATAGGTAGCGAAAGTACTGTGGAAGTTTGTTGGAGGAAGGATTCTTTCATAGCCCAGGAAGGCGTTTATGAAGAGGAGAGCATTAAGATGAGCCCTTAAAGAAATGAGGAGTTGCACAGGATTTTCTTTTGGAAAGTCAAGTCATTCCATTTGATGGGAAGAGTGATAGTTAGAAGACTGGGACTCCTTGGAGCAAGGTTTATTTGAGACTTTTGAAAATAAATAAGCATTGTCATTGGTAGCCTTTTAACCAATGTGAGGACAAAATGTAAGGATAATGTATACACACCCAAACCTATTTTGTTTTCTGTCAAGTAACCTTTATTTTGTTCTCATCATGATGAAAAGATGAATTTTTAGAAGCTTTATTGAAGTATAATTGACATGCCATAAAATTCACCAATTATATCATTCAGTGATTTGGGGGAGATGTACAATTAAAAAATTAAAAAACAGAGTTTTATAACCCTTGTCACACTCAAATTTCAGAATATGTCCATCATCCCCATGTGTCACTTCATGAAGGTTATAAAATTGAACTGCACAGGATGTATCTTTACAACACGTCACTCTGAGACAGTGCTTCAGCAAGCTGAGCTACTGGCCAGGGCCTTGAAATTGGCTTTTTACACTGAGCATAATTCATTTGAGACAACCTTGGCCCATTGATTATGAATGTGGCCCAGAAGAAAAATCGCAAATTTACTTTAAACATGAAGAGATTTTTGTGTTTTTGTTAGTGTCTGTGTATTTCATGTGTGTCCCAAGACAGCTCTTGTTCTTCAATCACAGCCCCGAGATGTCAGAATTTGGACACCCCTGATCTAGGTCGTTGGGCATATCACTATTTTTTTCCTTTTTTATTACTGGATATTAAGTATTCCATTGCGTGACTATACCACGCATTTACCCATTTATCAGTTGATAGACATTTAGATAGTTCTGACTTGGCTGTTATTAACACTAATACTTTAACCATAATTAAACAAGTTTTTATCCGTATGTACTTGAATTTGTCTTGGGTATATGTGTACCTAGGAGTGGAAATGCTGGATCATGGTGCAGTTTTTCATTTACCTGAGAAACTGCCAAAGTGTGTTTTAAAGTGTCTCTTCCATTTAATGTTCTTATGAGCATTGTTTGAGGGGTCAAGTTTTTCTACACCCCTTTGGTTTTTGCCATCCCAATGAGTGTAAAGTGGTATTGCACTGTGGTTTTGATTTGTGTAACCCTTATTACTAAAGTTGAGTATCTTTTCATGTGTTTACTGGACATTCAATGTGTATATTCAGAGAAATGTCTAATCAGATCCTCTCTTCGTGGTTTTTTTTTTTTTTTTAAGATTTTTATTTATTTTTAGAGAGAGGGGAAGGAGGGAGAAAAAGAGGGAGAGAAAGTTTGATGTGTGAGAGGTACAGTGATTGGTTGCCCCTCACATGCCCCCAGGTGGGGACCTGGCCAAAACCCAGGCACCCCAGGCACATTTGCTGACAGGGAATCGAACCAGCAACCTTTCAGTTCGCAGGTCAGCATCCACTGAGCCACACCAACCAGGGTCCTTTCCATGTGTTTTCCTTGGGTTATTTGTATTTTTATGACTGAGTTATATGAGTTCTTTACATATTCTCCTTGTAAATATTTTCTACAAATTGCCTTTTGCTTGATAATGTTCTTCGAGGAAGAAAAGTATTTAATTTTTGTGAGGTTCATTTCACTTTTTATTTTTATTTTTTTTAATTAAAAATTTAAAAAAAAATATTTTACTTAAAAATAAATAAAGGGGAAGGGAAGGAGTAAGAGTAAGAGAGAACATCAATGTGTGGTTGTCTCTCATGTGTCCCCTACTGGGGATCTGGCCTGCAACCCACACATGTGCCGTGACTAGGAATCGAACCAGGAACCCTTTTCTTCACTTTTTATTAATAATGGTTTTGATGTTGTTATCTAAGAGACTGTTGGGGAACCTCAAGGTCCTGAAGATTTGTTATGTTTTCTTCTATAAAGGTTTATAGCTTTAGTTCTTACATTTAGATATACTTTCAATTTTGAGATAATTTTGGTACATGGTAAGGGTATAAATTCATATTGTTTGTGGCAGCAGAATTTGTTGAAAAGACTATTCTTTCCTCTAGAATTGCTTTGGCATCTTTATTAAAAGTTAGTTGACCTTGACTTTATTTCTGGGCTTTCTACATGGTGAATTATGTTGTGTGTGAACTGAGACAGTTTATTTTTTTGCAATATGAATGCTTTTTATTTCTTAATTCTGTTGATGGGGCTAGAACATCCAATAGAACATTTCACCTTGTCCTAGATGTTAGCTGGAAGGCATCCAGGCTTCTGCCATTATGGTGTAGCTATTGTTTTTCTGTGTATGTCCTTTTTATGATGGAGAAAGAAGATTTCTTTGTCATGTTGAAGTTAAAATTTAAACATTTTTGTGGTCAGTATATTTTTTCCTTAAAAGTTTTCTAGATTAGTCCTGGCTGGTGTGGCTCAGTGGATTGAGCACAGGCCTGCGAACCAGACAATCGCAGTTTGAGTCCCAGTCAGGGCACATGCCTGGGTTGCAGGCTGGTTCCCTGCAGGCCAGTTCCCAGCAGGGGATGCACGAAAGGCAACCATACATTGATGTTTCCCTCTCTCCTTTTTCCCTCTAAAGATAAACAAATAAAATCTTATAAAAAATGTTTTCTAGATTAGATTTAAGTCTGCTATTTGTAGTTTGTGAAATCTTTTATTTTAGAAACTTGCTTTCAAATGTTGTGGCCTGGGCATCAGTCAATGAAGATTTTGTTCAGGGTTTTGTTTTTTTTTTTTTTTTTTTCAGAGAGAGGGGAAGGGAGGGAAAAAGACAGGGAGAGAAACATCAATGTGTGGTTGCCTCTTGTGCGCCCCCAACTGGGGACTCGGCCTGCAATCCAGGCATGTGCTTTTATGTGGAGTCAAACCCAAGACCTTTTGGTTTGTGAGATGATGCCCAACGCACTGAGCCACACCAGTGAGAACTAATGAAGGTTTCTCCAGGGTGTTTTGTAATGAGTGATCTGAATTGGTAGGTTTGTATCACTTGGCTTTCTTGCCATACCAGCTCTCAAAGTAATTGAAATGTTGTGATTGTGATGGGATTATATTTTATGCCTGTGAAGAGTTTTAGCAGCTTTATTGAGATGTATATCCAATAAACCCACACATATTTAAAGTGTACAATTGGATAAGTTTTGACACTGTGAAACCATGAGTACAATCCGGATAGTGAATAGGTCTTTTGCCCCAGTTTCCTCACACCCCTGGGTGATTCCTCCCCCTGGTCCTTCCACCCCTGTTCCCTGGGCCACCACTGATCTGCTGTCACTCTAGATGGTTTGCATTTTCTAGATTGGTTTATGCTAATGGAGCCACATAGTATGTATCTTTTTTTGGTTTAAGTTCTTATTTGGAGACTTAATTCATGTTGTTTCATGTATCAGCAGTCCTTGTTTTTAAATTGCTGAGTAGTAGTCCATTGTATCGGTATACTACAATTTGTTTAGTCATTCAGCTGTCCATGAAAATTTGGTTTTTCATTACTTGGCTATTACAAAGAATGTGCTATGCATATTTGAGTGCAAGTCTTCATGTGGCTATATATTTTCATTCCCTTTGGTAAATATGTAAAGTTAAAATGGTTAATCATATGGTAGCTATACATTTAACTTTTTAAGAAACTGCTGGACAGCCCTGGCTGGTGTGACTCAGTGGATTGAGTGCCAGCCTGGGAACCACAGGGTCAACAGTTCAATTCCCAGTCAGGGCACATGCCTGGGTTGTGGGTCAGGTGTCCTGGTGGAGGCACACCAGAGGCAACCATACACTGATGTTTCCCTCTCTTTCTCCCTTTCATTTCCTCTCTCTCAAAATAAATAATTAATTGTTTTTTAGAAAGAAGGAAAGGAAGCTAGCTAGCTGCTGGACTGTTTTTACATGATTATTCCATTCCCACTAGCAGTGTATGAGACTACAGCTTCATCAGCATTTGGTGGGGCAGCCCCTTCCTTCCTTCCTTCCTTCCTTCCTTCCTTCCTTCCTTCCTTCCATCCATCCATCCAATTTATTGGGTTTTAGTATATTCACAAGATATACAACTATCACTGTTATGTTATTTCAGAGCATTTTCATTACCCCAGAAAGAAACCATGTGGTTCTCAGCAGTCCCTTTTTTCCATGTTCGCAAAACCAGCTCTAGGCTTAATAGAAATCTTCATCGTTTATTCTTCAATAGAGTCTCACTCTACATTACCAGAGTAACAGTATATTGCTGTATTTGTTTCATTGATAAAAAGAAGAGTGTTTCCTTAAAGGGAGGGTACTGTGGGTGAGGGGATGAAAGTGGCTAGATCATTGTTGTGTCTAATTCTCTTCCTCGGAAGGGAGAACAAAGGACACTTATAAACAGTGCTGTACTCATTCTAGTATTACCCACAAGTGTGAGCTCCCCTTCTGCCAGTTCATTCTATGTTTAGGGCCTTTGGGAGCATTAGTCCTATTTTGAGTGTTGAAAGAACCTAAATCTGTTTTTGTACATACAGGTGGTCGTGTGATGGTAACAGATGCTGAAAGGTCAATGTTGTCTGCAAGTGGAAGGTAAAAAAATCCCTTAGTACTAATTAACTTGCACACCTCATCAAGTTTTAGTTTTTCAATTACCGAGTTACTAGAATATTAAAAAGTCGGACATTTTGAAGTTTAATATGCAATCGACTCATTCAGGGATCCTCTGAAGATGCAGTTTTTGACTTACTAGTTCCGCATGAAAGTAGCTCTTTGGGTGAAACTGATGTGATTCTGATGATCAGATTGTAATAGACAGAAAGGCCTTATTTGTAAAGTGGAATTTGAAAGTTAATTTGCTGCTCTGTATTATTTTGTTAATACTCCCGCACTCCCAAAGTGTTCAGTTAGAACTAAAGCACTACATTCAGTTGACAAGTCATAGTTAAGAAAGAAATACGTAAATGTCACAGTAGATTCAGTTTGCATTCAGCTTGGTCAGGTGGTTGATTTTATACTGAGATCCAGGGCGTTTGAACACTGTGTGAGTGGCCCTCACCAATGCAGAGCTTCCTTTTCCTTTTAGCTGTGGCTCCATCAAAGTGAAAACTGAACCCACAGAAGATTCTGGTAAGTACTAGTGCTTTTAGAATCAACTATGACATTTAAGTAAGGAAGCCTTTTAACTTAGTAGGTTTTACTTTCACTCAGTGCTTATTATTTTTTAAAATATTTTATTTATTTATCTTTAGAGGGGAAGGGAAGGAGAGAGTGAGAGAAATGTCAGTGTATGGTTGCCTCTCATGCGTCCCCTGCCGGGAACTGGCCTGCAACCCAGGAATGTGCCCTGACTGGGAATCGAACCCAGATTGTGTGGTTTGCAGGCCCGCACTCAATCCACTGAGCTATACCAGCCAGGGCTCAGTGCTTATTATTTTGATGAGAAGTACAAATTTTTATTTTCAGTGGTGATATTATTAGTGTTAGCATATTGTATGAAACCTTAAAACATAGTAATTTGATAAATGGTAGTTAGAAATTTGCTAAATACTCATTTGTAGACAGTTTTGTATGTTTTTTTTTTCCCAAAGGTTTTATTTATTTATTTTTAGAGAGAGGGGAATGGAGAGAGAAAGGGAGAGAAATATCAATGTATGGTTGTGTCTTATGTGTCCCCTGCTAGGAACTGACATATGCCCCGACTGGGAATCGAACCAAGGTTATTTGGTTCACAGGCCCACGCTCAACCAACTGAGCTACAACAGCCAGGGCTCACCGTTAACTTTTAAAGGTGATACTATATTTATAGAACTCAAAGAGAATCAACTAGACACCTACTGAAAATAAAACATTCATAATCTGATTTTTACCTCAATAAGTGTTGAAAATTCCAGATAAAATAATAACGTGGATCAAAAGCATTTGAAAAAACTTAATAATCTTTGAATGCTTTGAAAATTTAATACTTTGAATGCTTTTTTTAAAAAGATTTCATCCATCTTTTATTTTAGAGAGAGGGGAAGGGAGGGAGAAAGAGAGAGAAAAACATCAAAGTATGGTTGCTTCTCATGCGTCCCCCACTGGGCACCTGGCCCACAACCCAGGCACATTCCCTGACTGGGAACCGAACCAGCAATCTTTTGGTTCAGAGACCCGCTCTCAATCCACTGAGCCAAACCAGCCAGGGCTGAATGGAGAAAATTTTAATGTAAAGATTAACAAGTTATAGTTATTAACTTTATAAAAGGAGGAGTATGCTAAGGTATCATGTAAGTAAGAAGATAAGGAATTGACAAGGTAAGGAATTGGCTGCTACCCCTTAAACTCTTAATTGTGACTTCTAAGTTGGGAGATTGTGGAGTATTGATACAGTTCTGGTTGATGTATTAGGGGACATGTTGAAAGTCGTTCTGGGAGAGTTGGAAAAATTGTAAGTGGGTCCATCTATGGGGAGGGTCTGCTTTCAGGAGGTTGAAATAGTATACCAAGCAGTGAGTGAGTCCTGACAAGAAGGTGAGAGAAAGGTGCAGGTCCCTCTTCTCTCCTCTGGTCTCCGCACTGTGCTCCTCTGTGGCGGACACTCAAAGGAGCCAGTTGGTTGCTTCAGCAGAGTCTGCGAGGGTAGATCTGGACCTGGGACAGCGGCCTGATGACTGCACAGGCTCCCCTTTCACCAGTCAGCATCCACACGACCCCTTCTCCGCATCATTTAACTTCCATGTAACAAAGGACCATTCCCGTCTAATTGGATACAGTTTTCCATTTTACAAAATGATTCATCTTCACCCTCTCCCCGAAGTGCGATGCGGTGCTCCAACAGTCATTGTACTCATCTCAGGGACATTGGTTTACTGTCCAGTCATGAGCTGTATTAATTCCTCTTCAGATTCACTCCTAACCCATTTGACTGTTCTCTTATCTAATGGCTAAACGGTAAAGGAAATGCCAGCAATACTTCTGTAAAGCAATAATGTGAAGGATAAGGGAGAACAGTTAATATATCCAAATGCATAATATTCACAGAAACATATTCATAACAAGGAATAAACTATGCACAGTGTCCATGTTCCTGCCACTTGTGACAAGAATTTATACCTTCCTTAACTCGTTACCCATTTTATTGTGTTTCATTTGCTGTTAGCCAGGGCCTTAGCTGGTAAAGTTCTTCAGCTGGGGGAGGTGACCCAGACCTTCATTCCTGAAGGGTCTGAATCCCCCGTGGATCTGCCTTTTTTTGTTTGTTTTGACTTTCTGTTAACTTTTACTGACAAACAGGATGTACTGAAGAGGCAGCCCACAGAATGGCAGGGCTTCCAGGCATTTTCCCTGATCGTGCTCCGGCAGCCAGCCAGCCAGTTTCCCCATTGGCAGTGATGCCCACAGAGTAACCCCTTCTTTGCTGGTTGCTTTAGAGATAAATGTCCTTCAGCATATCAGTCTAACTGTGTTTTTGAAAACTGTTTCTTTTTTTTTCTTCAGATTTTATTTATTTATCTTTAGAGGGGAAGGGAACGAGAGAGGGAGAGAAATATCAATGTACGGTTGCCTCTCATACATCCCCTGCTGGGAACTAGCCTGCAACCCAATCATGTACCCTGACAGAATCTAAAACCAATACTCACACGTCATTTTCAGTGGCTGGTAAAAGTATTTTTAATAGCGGATGAGTACAGAGTGTGACTAATTTTCTTTAATTCCAAAGATAGGAACTGTCGGAGAAAACACGAGCAGCAGAAAATCCCAGAACATTAACAGTAGTTAACACTTAGTCTAGGGTGGGTTTCAGGTCATTCCCCCCACCAGCCCCTACTTGCAGCCCTGCTGCCTAGACTCCTTGTCCTTCCAGAGTCTGTAGAATATGCTTTACCGTGCGTTGTGAGGAGGCAGGAGAGGTTTCCCTGGACCACTTAACTGAACCTCCTGAAGTATAATCGTATAATTTCATTTACTTTTACAGGTATTTCCTTGGAAATGGCAGCTGTGACAGTGAAGGAAGAATCAGAAGATCCTGATTACTATCAATACAACATTCAAGGTAATCCTATCTAATACAGTTTTTCTTTCCAAAAGTTATTACTGCTAAAAATTTAAATTTATCAGTTGCCTGAGTTCTTTAAATACTTCTTTTATATTGTTCCTCGATTCCATGTGTACCTGTAATATATAATAGAATATAATAGATTAAAAAATTAGGCAGTACAATAAACTTAATTACAGGGGAAACATAGAAAAGCCATCACTATTCTCGAAAGGTACAGTAAAAGTGGCACAACCTAGAGTTCAATTCCAGTTTCTGATATTTGCAAGGCATGAATGATCTTCTGAAACTTTAATAGTTCTTTTTTAAAAAACCTTTTTAAAAATTAATTTTAGGGAGTGGGTCAGAAGAACATTGATGTGTTGTTCCACTTATTTATGCTTTTATTGGTTGATTCTTGTATGTACTGACTGGGGATCAAACCCACAACCTCCGTGGATTGGGTGGATGC